TCATTAACGTATCATACTTTAATCACTCATAACCTGCTACTGTTCAGCATTCCAGCGCATTATGTTACGAAAACACACTTGTTTTTTTTTTTTCTGGAACTGTGCAGTGTCCTTACACTATAATTAACTCCTGATAAGGACCGAATTAACAATTGTTCCAAAAATATGAAAGCACTGATAAAGGACAAGACTATGCTTGTGTGTATTGGTGAATTTTCCCTCTTAAAAATGTTCCGGTCATCATTACTTCAGCAAGGACAATTCCGACACGTGCAATGTAATATTAATAATAAAACTCTGGGGTCTATCGTTCTAGAAATTTGATCAATAAAAAAATATAATAGTTAATAGCAGTAACACTGCAAAAAACGAAAACCCCATCAACACTCGAACCCTCGCAATTCTCGTCTCCGAATGCAAACATTACGCTTATAACCTAGTACGTGACCCTGTATATAGGAAGTCTGCATATTCTCGTAGATTGCCGTAATATTTCGCTTTTTTTGCAAAAATTTAGATGCCTTGGGGAAAATCAGAAGACGGATTCATAAAGAACAAGTACAGGAGTATGACTGACAGACAGACAACGCCCAACTTAAACCGGTGAGTTTAGAAGCATGAAATTTTGTACAGGAGTGCTTTGCATAACATAGGTGAACATTAACAATTAATAGAATTTTTGAAAATCTATCCCATAAGGGGATTTAGTTTGGAATGAATATCCGAACAGACGACAGACAGATAGACAGGACAGGCAGAAAGGGGAAACCTACTTTTTCCTGCTGTTGGGGTCATGAAATGTCGAGAAAACATGAAAGGCTACCCGATAGACTCGATTACAATACTTTCTTAACCTACGCTCGAGAAGTAAAAATTGATTTTGCCAACTTTTATGTAGTCAGTCTCCCCACGGTGGACTCGCCTGTTATATTTCCTTAATTTGTAATTTCGTTCCTTCTCCCAGTCTTGTATACATTAACCATTGGAGTCTTTTCATATGCAAGGAAACATAAACGTGTTTAAAATGAGTTAGATATGGTTCGTGGGGGCTTTGATAAAAGACCAGCACAATCTCTAACCAAAAATGATGGTACTGTATCAGTGCCTGCTGTCATGCATGGTTTCATCTTCATTGTAACATTAAGTTCAGTTTTTTCTTGTACCTGTTTGAGCTCCAAAATGCTGGGTTAGCAATGAACCGACGTTGATCCGAGACAGTTGCAAACGATTTCTTAAAATAATCTGAAAAAGCATTCACTATATCTTGTAGAGCAGCAATTTCATTGCCCTCGTAGATCGTAACCGAAGGAATATCTGTTTGGTTCTTTTTTTTATGAAATACTAAAACTTTTTTGGGTCAATTTTAATGTCTCCAACTGCTTGATGGATACATTAATGATACGAATCTTTCAACAACTTTTTAGATTTAGTTCTTAATGATCTGAATACTTCAAGAGATTCTACGCTCTTCTCGTTTTTATGTTTTACTCAGTCTTTATGCTTTAACAAGTCGTAAAATACATATAATTTCTTTGTTAAACCACCTTGGATAGTGCCTTGTTGCAGGTTTATGTAATGGAATCCAAGACTTGAATATATTGAACAATATATCATATAAAAATTCTTTCATTGACGTCATTACTCGACTTTATAACGAAAAAATTTGCAGCGCATAAATTCGCGTAAAGCTGGTGAAAATTTGCTTTCCGGAAATTGAATTTATATTTAATACTGCTATGGAAGTAAGATGATCTTTTCTCACAAGTCCTAAGATTAATATTAATAGCCGGATGATAGTAGTTTTCATGTATTAGCAGTTCTGAACCGCGCGTAATATTACAGGCAATATTCGAAAAAACAGGTCCAATATACCGTTATCTATCGGGGTTTGTAATTTCATTTATTTGAGTTAGATCAAAGAAATTTAAAAAATCTCTGTAAGCTTTCATACTGGTAATCAATTTTCTTTTTAAGGAAAGTGAAAATAATGGACTGCTATGGGTAGTATTTATCTATTAAAGACGGCAAAAAAATTTTAGTTTGGATTACACAGTTATTTTGAAATTTTTCCTTAAACGACTTTTTTTTTGGTATAGATGAAAAATATATACATACAAAAGGCGTTGCTTTCTTTGTTCTTCGATTAGGTTTTCAAAAAAATATTTCTCTGTGTTTAAATATTTTCTAATTTTCTAACGACATTTCACAAACAGCAATGTTATGTTTTACCGTATAATGGTGTTATACTGTAATAGTAGTTTACGATACAAGTAACGTTATTAGGGTTTTTACATTACGAGGAATATGTTTGAAGAACGAGGGGCGGTAGCCCCGAGTTCTTTAAAATTTCCGAGTAATGTAAAACCTGATAACGTTACGTGCATCGTAACACGTTTTATTTTATCCTATAATCACAATTTAAAACTATAACAAAAATATTTTTAACGACAAAGTTCAAAGCGCACGAAAAATCAGTCAGTTATGCCTGCGCTGGTAGCCACGGTATTAGTTGTTTACACTGAAAAAACGATTGTTTCTGATTTTGTAAATGCGAGAATGACTACCAAAATAAAAGGCCGTTGCTGAAAGGCAAAAAAACAGCTGGCAGGTATCTCAAAGAGGTAGTAAACTTTAAGACCTGGAGAAAAAAATACACGATAGATAAATTAATTACTATTAGCAGACGCTTCGGAATTAGTAAGTTTTTACATTTTTTATGTCAACAGCTCTGAAGGGGAAATGTCAGTGAAGATTATGATTTCACAACAACACTAGTGGTGTTATGAAAATTCATAACAGTACTAGTAATGTAAAGTATGCCTTAACGTAACTCGTTGTCAACGTGTTGTCGGTATGGTTACAATATAGGATAAAATAAATAAAATTAAAATTACTGTTACTATTATTGGTCTTAATTTGAGTAGAGCTCTGTTGAATATGTTACTCTGTACAAGTATTCACCAATCATTCATTGGCACAAATACTAAATCCTCCACTATTAGTAACCAATTTATCGGTCTTAAAAACAATGCTAATTTTTATTAATATAAGTTGATATAGGCATAGTCGTCTGACTTTCTCTGATGTCTATAGAAGCAGTGTTTGATACGTCGTACAAATCAGATGAGAAACGTTCTTTTCCTTGCTACCTCCCGAGCGTAAGCGAAGGAAGTATTGTAATCGAGTCCGTCGGCCGACTATCCACGTTTTCTCGACCTTTCATAACATCTAGAGTACGAAGAAATAAGTCTCCCGTTTCCGTCTGTCTGCCATCCCGATTTTTTTAGACAGATAATCTCCGAAAGTACTGGGTGGATTGTTGTCACATTTTGTATTTATGTTAGGAATATCATGTAAGTAGATGGTAAAACACTAACCAAAATTTGTCTAATCATCCTCACCAACAACGTGATGACATCCCCTACACATGTAGTTTATGACTCAGTTTTTACCAGAAACCTCCAGATTTTTGGAAAAAATAAATGAAAATTATAAAAAAACCTTTTGCAATTTAGTTTTGAATTCGCAAAAATGAATGCTTTGAAATCTTGCAAATGTTTTAAAGTTATGATAAGCATGATAAATTTTTAATCAAAATATATTTACTTATTCCCTCCAATAAATTGATGACGTCAGCTCAAAATTTTGCTGATTAAATCCTATCCAAAAAGACCAAAATATGATGAGTCTCTACTTGTGATTTATCATTTCATTCATATTTTTTGGATTTGCTTATACAGGGTGACTCAAAAAAAATTAATGAGTGCGTAAATTTATTTTATTGATTCAATCAGGAACTACAAAACCGAATGTTTTGAAATCTTGGATATGTTTTAAAGTTATCATTAGCACGGTAATTTTTTTATCAAAATGTAGTTACTCATCCCCCCTAAAACAATTGATGACGTCACCTCAAAGTATCCCTGAATAAATCCTATCTTAAATGTGCAAAAAATGATGAGCCTATACTTGTGATTTATCATTGCATTCATATTTTTTAAATTTGCTTAACAGGTGGCTCAAAAAAATTAATGAATGAGTCAGTTTATTTTATTGATTATATCAGCAACAGCTCACTCCATTTTCCCAGAAAATTTTGTGAATACAATACCGTTATTTTTACGATTACACTGCACCAATCCAAGTTGACATACGTGCCCTTACAAAAATGTTGATAACGTCATCAAAAAATTGTATAAACAAAAAATTCAACTCGAAAATGCTGGATATATATCATTGTGCTTTAGGTACGAGAAAAGTTGTGTCGAAAAACTTTCGACCAATTTTCTTTTATCATCGTAGTGTGTTTCAGTTTGATGGAAAACACAAAGAATAAACCAGACCAGTTTATTTTTATCTTATAAATATCGTAAAATCTTAAATAATAATCCTATGTATATTTTTGGATATATAAACAGAAGTACCTACTACCTAAATCTCCTCTTATTTTTCTCCGGTATCACCATGTTTATAAAATTCAGATACCTACGGTATAATTAAGAACATAATTAAAATTCTATCAAGATCCGGAAAATAAAAAGTGAAAAAAATCACGATGTTGTTTATTAACGCTTTTTAATCCTTCAACGTTTTTTTCTGTTAATTCTGTTAATATTAATCACTCGATAAGGCTTGTTTTTCAATGGTTTATTGTTGTTGTCCAATAGACAACACATGTTACTTAGTTTGCCGGCTGCCAAGGTTCAGATGTGGGATGGTGAGATCTTATTTATAAAAGGTATCCAAAATTTGGAAGTCATCGAGTGTTCAATGCCAGTAGAACTAAAAATTAAAAATTACAAAACACTTAATTATAACGTCAAACAAACTGCTTTGAGCACTTCACCGCCAGCAAGTAATTAACCCAGCCAAGTTCCTGTTGATAAACACAAGTAATTCTCGTTCTAAACAATGGTTGTATAAATACTCGTGTGAAATCTATTTATAATTCACCTCGGTGTGTTGTGCCAGAATAAATTTAAACTTGAGCCATACGTAGTTTTGCGCTGGTTATCTCGCGTCACAAAACCGTTGAATAACTGTGATATAAATTAAATTAATAATGTCACCGAAGAATCAAGTTCATCCCCTAAGTTATTTGTGTATTAAACTTGTTTCCACGAAGCTAATTCAGGCACTTTCGGATGACGAAGGTCGCAACTACGATGTAGTGGAGCGGTATCTCTTCGACGCCACTTATGAAGTTGTTCAGGAGTTATTAAAAAATATTTTGAATTCCGTTAATCTCGACGCCGCCACCAGATTCAGTTGTTTGCAAGTTTTACTCCGATATGATGTTAAGAAACTGGATACGGGAATCTTCCCCCATTCTTATTATGAGGCAATATTAAAAGTTATAACTCAAAAGGGTACAGGGCTACAGCAATTAAACCTTAAGGGAGTTTGGGTGAGGGAGCATCCTACGGAACTCAGTGAGTTGGTGAAAAATCTCGCTAAATTGAAAGTATTAATTATCCCACACATGGCAGACAACCAGGTTTTGGAAGCGGCCACGAATTGTCAGTTTTTAACAGTCCTCGACATTTCCGGAGAGTGTTCCTTCACAGCGCAAGGATTACAACATCTTACTACAGAGACAATCACTGTTTTAGACATTGGGAATTTCGGTAAGAAAAATGTGTGTCTTCAGGAAGAGGATGAAACAGAAGACATAATGGCTCAAGTTATTGAAAACCTTCCAAATCTAACATCACTCAGGACCTACTCTTTTACCGGAGCGTCTCTTTTAACGCTATACAAAAAAAACTCAAAGCACAAAACTCGTCTCAAATATCTTCATGATACAGGAACAACTGATGAAATTATAAATGTCATCATCCATATGTGCGAAAATTTAGAAAGTATTCATCTTGATAACCCCGAGAAAGGTGTCATTTCTCGTCTTAGCGAACTTAAAAAACTCACCTGTCTCAAACTAGTCCACCACGACGTAGTGGACCTACTGAACTACCTTAGAAGCTCTGGATCTGGACTCCAAGTTCTTAAATTAAACCACAACAAGAGAGTTTCCCTACAACTATGTGATATATGTTTGTGTGTACCAAACTTACAAACTCTTGAGTGTTTCCAGCTGAAACTGTCTTTCTTCCAAGTCGACACATTCTTCATGAATTTAGAAAACATCGAAATTCTGTACTGTGATATCAGTGATTCATCTCTCAGATATATACTAACTAATTGTCCTTTCTTGAAACGTGTGATTATAGGGTGTATTATCAATATGACCGACGGTGATATTTTTAGATTATGTGCTGAATGTGAATTTTTATGCTTAGAAGAATTGTGGTTTTCTTGTGCCAGAGGTCTTACTTCAATTTCGGTAGAACTGTTAATGGGTCATTGTCCTAACTTGAAAGTGATGGGACAGCTTAGTGGTTGGGATATCCACCCTGAAGAGATTGAGTATTTAAGATCTGTGATATTATACACAAATACGGATTTGACTTTATTACCCTTGGGTACGTTATCTTAAACAGTTAAATTACATATAACAACTATTTCAATAAGTTAATTTTTTTAACAACTTTTTGTCTAGCCATTCGTACAAGAATGTGTTACCTTTCGTGTTACCTTTCTCTAATCTTCAATGAAAAACTGAATTATATAAATTATGAAAACAAAACTTTATTTGATTTAATAAATAATTTCGTGTTCTATATATACTTTATTAACACATCTTCAATTGAGTATTGATGGTATTTATTAGCCTACCGCAGACCCGACGCAGCTAGCATCGCTTCTCATTATAATACTTCTTTGTACTCTAAGGTTGGTCAAAATACAAACAATAACATTACTTAAAGAGGAAATTACATTGGCAGGTAATTTTTTATGTCTAGAGTATTGTCAGTACTGGTTGCTTTCATAGTTTCTCGATGGGTCATGACACCTAAAGTACGAGAAAATCGATCTCCCGTTTCCGTCTGTCTGTTTGTCTCTCTGCCCGTCAACCCTGACGTTTTCTGTTAGATAGAGAATCTCCGAAACTACTAGACCGATTATTGTGAAATTTTATCCATATATTATGATTTATGAACATCATGTAGATGGTAAACCGCTAACGAAGCTTTGTCTTTGTCTAATGATCTCCACTAACAATGAGCCTACCCTTGAAAAATTTTTGCCTCCTCTAGTCCTAGAAAAATTATAATTAACCAAATGTGAATTATAACATTGAACATCAAAATAAAATGTAGTGTTTTATTTAATAAGCCGAAGTCGAAGGAATAAAAAAGCTCGACCATTGCATTGGGATACAGTTATTGCAATTGGTAGAAAATGTGCTTTAGTGTCTCTGTTTCACTCCCACGTGTACAGTCTCGACAAGCGTTACGCTATTTGTCTTAAATTACGAGTACTTATAAATATAAAGTTGTTTTGACAGAACTTCCCTCACTGCTCAAGTACAATGAAACATATCCCGCATTTTCGAATGGGCGCCCCTCAGAGGCGTGCGTCATCACTTCCCTCTCATAGTGAACTTTTCTACTTGCGATGGGTACCTGTACCTGTTTAGATTAGTGCCTAATAGTTTCATCCGCATTCGTGCTAGTGTGTTGACCAGTTCATTTAAGTTTATGTTTCTGCGTGTTATTCTTTGCGATTTAAAAAAATAAACTTAAAAACCACCCCCTTCTGAAGTGTGCTTGTTACGCTACTGACTGACAGTCCGTTGTCAGATTCTGATGTTGAACTTAAAATGATCCGTCTGTAACAACCTTTGTCCTTCATCACTAGGTAGTAGCAATCTGACGCTACAATATTTATTTAGGTTCATACATCGAAAGAATGTCACGTAGAAAATATTTTGATTTGAATGAGTTTGTCTTCTCAAAACACAGGAATAAAATTATTAATTAAACCACAATCGAACAAAACGTTCCGAATATTATAATTCTTCTTTTATCATTATTATATAAAGACATGTGTATTCTTCACATTTTCGAGCAAATGGGGTAACTCGTTCTTAATTTGACCAATAAAAAATTTGTGTCGACGTCATCAACATGTATAATACTAGTTACAGCACAAAAGAAAAGTAGTCACAGCGTCTTACCAGTGCAAAAAAACAAGGACACGTATATCAACTTGAATTGGTGCAGTGTAATACTAAAAATAACAGTATTGTATTCCCAAAATTTTCTGAGAAAATGGAGTAAGCCGTTCTTGATTTAATCAATAAAATAAATTAACGCATTCATTAATTTTTTTCACCCACCTGTTTAAGCAAAAGTAAATATATGAACACAATGATAAAACACAAGTAAAAACTCATCATATTTTGCACATTTTTGGTAGAATTTATTCGGCAAAATTTTAAAGTGACGTCATCAACTTTTTGGGAGATATGTTTTGACTAACAATTTAACAGGCGTACAATAACTGTAACACGTCTGCAAAATTTCAAAGTATTGATATATGTATTCAATAAAATAAGTTGACTGACTCATTAATTTTTTTTAGTCAGCCTGTATAATACAATATAATCTAAAAAATATGAATTAAGTTATAAATTACAAGTATAGAGTGATCATATTTTGCAATTTTTGGTATGATTTATTCGGTAAAATTTTGAGACGACGTCATTAATTTTTTGGGGCTGATAAACAGATACATTTTGATTAAACATTTACCATGCTTACAATAACTTCAAAACGTCTACGAGATTTCAAAGTACTCAGTTTTGCAATTCTTGATTTAATCAATAAAATAAATTGACTCAGTCATTAATTTTTTGAGGCACCCCGTATAAGCCAATCTAAAAAATATTAACGCACTGAAAAATGACAAGTATTGACTCATCATATTTTGCACATTTAAGACAGTATTTCTTCAGCAAAATTTTGAGGTGACGTCCTAAATTTTTAAGGAGGGATAAGCAAATACAGTTTGAACAAAAATTTATCATGCTTTTGACAATCTTAAAATATCTCCAAGATTTCAAAGCATTCGATTAAATCAATAAAATAAATTCACGCATCCATTAATTTTTTTGAGTCATCCTGTATATGCAAATCCAAAAAAATATGAATGGAATGATAAATTACAGGTACAGACTCATCATATTTTGTACAATTTAGATAAGATTTATACAGCAAAATTTAGAGCTGACGTTATCAATTTTTTCGAGGGGATAAGTAAATATATTTTGAATAAAAACTTATCAAAATATATTTTGATTCAAAATTTATCTTATCATAACTTTAATCTGCAAGATTTCAAAGCAGATTCAAAATTAATTTGCAAAATGTTGTTTTATAATTTTGATTTTTTTCCAAAAATCTGGACGTTTCAGGTAAAAACTCAATCCGGAGTCATGTGCAATTTTGAAGTGCCGTGATCACATTATTGGTGGGGGTGATTAGACAAATTGTGGTTGGAGTTTTACCATCTACTTGATGTAATATAAATACAAAATTTAACAAGAATCGGTCCAGTACTTTCGGAAATTATCTGTCTAATAAAAGTCCAGGACGGCAGACAGACTGATAGATGGACAGACAGACGGACAGACAGACGCAAACGAAAGACCTGTTTCTTCGTACTCTAGGGGTCATGAAAAGTCGAGAAAACGTAAAAGTAGAGAGTCGGCCGACGGACTCGATTTTGCTTACGCTCAGGAAGTAAAAATTGGTGGAAATGAACTTCCCTCGTTCCTGTCTGAAACATGTCCAGCTTTTTAGCGTTGAGTTTTTTTTCTCAATTTTGTGATGACGTCATCAATATTTTTGTAAGGACACGTATATCAACTTTCGTGCAGTGTAATACTAAAAATAACAGTATTGTATTCCCAAAATTTTCTGGGAGTGGGCTGTTCCTGATTTAATAAATATAATAAATTGACTCATTCATTAAGTTTTTTGAGACAACCTTTATAAGCAAATCTAAAAAATATGAATTCAGTGATAAATTACAAGTATAGACTGATGATAATTTGTAGATTTCAGTTCGGATCTATTCACCAAAATTTTGATATGATGTCATCAATTTTTTTGGAGCGGATATTTTGTTTAAACATTTATCATGCTCATAATAACTTTAAAACATTTGCAAGATTTCAAATCATAATTGGTGGGGATCATTAGACAAATTTTGGTTAACGTTTTACCACCTACATGATATTCATAAGATAAAAATACAAAATTTTACAACAATCGACCCAGTACGTTCGGAGATTATCTGTCAGACAGACCGACAGACAGTTGGATAGACAGATGGACAGACACACACAGAGAAGGAAACGGGAGGCCTATTTCTTCGTACTGTAGGGGTCGTGCAAGGTCGAGAAAACGCAAAAGTAGAGGGTCGGTAAAGGGAGTCGACAAGAAAAAATATTGATGCATTATTACAGTAAGTTTAGACTAATAATATTGTGCACATTTTAGATTCAGCAAAATTTTGGGATGACGTCATCACGTTTTTGGGGGGAATAAATAGATGAATTTTGATTAGCGATTTACCATATTTAGGATGACTTTCAAACGTTTGCAAGATTTACAAGTTACATTGTAAAATCACAACATAGCGTGAGACGGAGTCTCTGTATGTTTGTTTGAACGCGATAATCTCAAAAACCACTGTACTGATTTTGATGAGGTTTTACGCAATATATGGAGTGATTCACGGAAAAGGTTTTGTGTAAATTGTGTAAAAAAAAACTAAAACTAACCTTTCGCTGTGCTTTCGATATTCTATATAGAACACAACAAACACAAATACAATCGGTGCTAAGTCGGATTCGGTCCTACTGTTTTATAAAATTTTCATTTTTTTAGGAAAATCTAGATGCCTGGGGTAAAAAGCATCTCGGATTCAGAAATCACAACGATGGGGGCACGGTATTATATAAGATTTAATTAGAATTTACTACGTAAAATTTTGAAGTGCCATTATCCAATTATCGACAGGGATGATGACTTGATCAGACAATTTTTTTTAGTGTTTTACATTCTACACGATATTTATAAAGTACATGCATAATTTGGCCGCAATCAGTTCAGTAATTTCGGAGACTGCCTAATAAATATCGACACAAACAACTTACGAACGGTAAGAAAAAATTTTTCAAAGTTATTTAGACAACAATTAAGGTAAGTAGATATAATGTTTAGGAAACTCCATATCGCTTATTTACAAATAAAATCAACGAGTTTTAGCAGATAAATAATTGCTTTGTGTTCAATAATGGCCGGAATAAAATTCACAAGATTAATAATTTTATAAATTTTCGAAGAAGCTGTATTTGTTCACCTGTGCTTCAGACGTGAGGGACGTTCAATTTAAATAACTTGTAACGAAGCGAATTTTCGCGGGCTGGAAACCGTGACGCGTACCGCGAGAGCCGGGGGTAAATTCGCGATCGCCGCGCCGCCGCGGCGGGAAGAAGAGGATCCTTACCTGAAGTCTTCGGCCGTGAAGAAGTGCTGTGGCTATTGTGGGTATTTTTGAGAAGTGAGAAGTATGCAGTTCGACTCTCCGACCACCGTAAGTATTTTTTGGGTCGCCTGCCTGTGTTGTACCGGTTTTCGAATCGCCGCCCCCGAGCGAAAAACCGTGTCACCGTCACCGCGTTTTTT